TCCCGGTCCCAAATCCCGGTCCCGGCCTCACCTCAGCCTCAGCCGCCGCCACCGCCCGCGCGCGCGCACTGCCGGCCCCCGCCGCGATTGGTCGGTTCGAACGCGCGTGGCGCTGCGTGCCCGGCGTGCGCCGCGCGCCCGCCGCCGCGGGGCATGCCGGGAGTTGTAGTCCGCCTTCTGTAGTTGTCCCTTCTCCCCGGTCCCATCCCGGCTGATAACGGGGCGTCCCGGGAGATGACCCCAAGCGAGCATCACCGGCTGGTGCCGCGGGGAAAGAGCGGTTGCTGCTGGGCTTTGGCAAAGTTAACGGGCAGACCCGAAATACGAGTTATTTCCCCTAAAAAATGAGTCCGAAAGGTGGAGCGACGGAGCGGGACTGAGTTCCCCTACCCCGGGGTAAGGGGTCTGTGGCTCGAACACCGGCTGTGGAACGCGGGGAGAGCGTTCTCCTTCCCCGCACTGAAAAACGCCTTATTTATCCCTTCGGGTTTTTAWTTCTCTCTTTTTCGGGGGTTTATTTTTCGCCGTCCTCGTTGCTGTTGCTGTTACAGCCCCCGCGCTCGGTACGGACCGTACCTCGGAGCCGGTGGCCGCAGTTTAATCGCCACTTGCTGCGGGATTTACTGGTTTTGAGTGACCGGTCGAGGCCGTGTCCCGTGGGGAGCCGTCGAGGATGCCCAGCGGGAGCCCGGGGCGCGGCGAGCAGGGACCAGCCCCCGGTAACACCGAGCCCATCACCGTGGCTTCCACCAAAACATTCAGAAAAAAAAAAAAAAACCAGAAAACGGTCCCCGTTTACGGAACTTTGTGGGAAATACCCGCGATCTCCCAGCCGAGAGCAGGGCAGCGAACCCCCGCCGGTCCCGGGGCAGGCGGACGGTCAGGACCGGCTGGGATTCCCTGCAGAAAACGAGATAAGGAGCAAAAATGCCRGAAAAACAACCCCTCGGCGTTACAAGTGGTTTTCGCTCTCCCGTGCATCCATCCCGGGCCCCGCGGGCCCCTCCCTCCCCSGTGCCGGGGTCCCCCTCGGGGACACGCGACCGAGGTGGCAAATTTACAAACGAGGCTTAAAACGGTTTAATTTTTTTTTTCTTTCTTACTTTCTTTAAAAATATTTACAGATCTGAAATAACGCTTTTTTTTAATTAATTCTTCTTTTTTTTTTCTCTTTTTTTTTTCTTTCAAGTGGCAAGATAGCAGGAGAGGAGAGCCGGGGGTGCCCCCGGGGCCCCGGGCTCTCCGTTTGCCCGTCCCTCCCATCAGTTTCGGTGCTGTGTCCCCGCCGAGGGGGCGGCCCGAGACCCCGCACGGAGCCCCCGCGGCGACCCCGGCCCCGCTCCCGGTGCGGTCCCGACGGGGCGGGCGCGGGGCGCGGGTGCGGGGCTCAGTAGTCGATCTTGTTGTAGAGGTTGTAGAGCGGTAAGGCCGAGAGGTTGCTGCCGGGGTAGTAGAGAGGGGCAGGGAAGGCGATGGACCGGGGCACCGGCACTCGGAGGAGGGAATTGTCTCTGAACACCAGCGGCATCCCCACCAGAGTCTGCGCCGAGGCGTGGGCCATGTTGGCCGCCTCCAGCTCGGCCGAGAGCTGCCGTTTCCACTTGTTCCTGCGGTTCTGGAACCAGGTCTTCACCTGGGTCTCGGTGAGCTGCAGGCTGGAGGCCAGGCAGGCCCGCTCCGAGCTGCTCAGGTAGCGCTTCATGTCGAAGGTGGACTCCAGCTGATAGACCTGCGAGCGGCTGAACACCGTGCGCGTCTTCTTCTTGGCGGYGCCGGCCTGCCGGTCCCCGCCGTCGCGCTGCCGGTCCCCGCAGGAAGGCGAGGAGGGTCCCAGCGGCTTCTCCTTCTCGTCCTTACAGTCCTGCTGGGGGGGCGAGAGGAAGGGCCCCCGCTCTCCGCTGCCCGCRGCCGCCGCTCCGCTCCCCTTGGTGCTGCCTGCAATAGAGCGACAGCGCGGGGGTCGCACGGCGGCCAGCACCGGGACCCCCGACGGCCGAGACCCCCGCCCCGGAGGGGGGAAGCACCGAGGGGACACTCCGAGCGAGCACCCGCCACCTCTGCTCCCGGTGGAACACGCAACCGACGCCGGGGGAAACGTCCCCGCTTGGGTATTCTGTCCCTCCGTCGGATGGATGGATGGATGGATGGATGGATGGATGGATGGATGGATGGATGGATGGATGGATGGATGGATGGATGGATGGATGGATGGATGGATGGATGGATGGATGGATGGATGGATGGATGGATGGATGGATGTGCATGCCACAGTGAAAGCAGCTGAGCACCAGGCTTCCTATCCGACACGAGCTGGCAAATTTTACTTTACAGCATCGCATTTCACAGACCGTTTATTCAGAAATAATGCTTAAAAACATAAACAGCGTTCTTCCTACTGCCCGAGCGCTGTAAATAATCAGGATCTAAGGAAACGAGCGTTATCCATCGCACCGCATCCCTCGGGGAAATCAACCCCGCGTGGGATGGCAAAGAAAATAATAAAAGCCACCCTATTTTTCCTCGAGTTCTTTCCTCCCCGCTTCCCCCACGGACGGCGCAGATACTCTGTGCCCCGAAAGCAGAGAGGGTGCGACGTGCCCCCGCCTCCCTCTTCCCGGCGGGGGCCGGACCGGGGCCGAGCCCTCCGCGGCCCTTCCCGTCCGCMCCGTCCCGTCCCATCCCTGCGGGTACTCACCGAGACAGGTGAAGCTGAGGGGCTGGTGCTTGTGGCACGCCTCGGCGGGGCCCTGAGCCTCGGGGCAGAAGCAGCCGCGGTGCTTCCAGCTCTCCTCCGGCTCCTCGTCCTCCGAGGACAGGGAGAGGGTCCGGGCTCGGGCTGGCCAGGCGGGCGCCCTGTCGCCGGCCTCGCGGGGGGGATCGGCGCTGCCGCTGCCCAGGATGGACTGGATGGTGAAACTGGAGATGGGAGCAGCCGCCGGACAGCACTTGCTCGGGTCTTCTTTGCTGCTCATCCTGGGTTCATAAGAAAGCAGAGGAGGGAAGCTGTCGCTTTAGAGGGGCTCKGCGGGCGCGGGAGGGGGGTGCCCCGGCAGCCTGCGGGGAGCCGTCGGGGGGGGATGTTTCGGGGGGCGCTTGGGGCGTGCGGCGGCCGGCTCTCCCCGCGCCGGCCCAGGCGGAATGCATGCTCCTTCCCCCGCGTCCCTATTGATCTGCGGGCGGCGGGCGGCGGGGCTTCATTTGCATGGAGGTGGCCTCCGCCGCGCCAATCACGGCGGCGGCGGGCACGGAAAGTTTGGAAACCCGCGGGCTCCGGGAATGGGGAGGCGCGGGGGGGTGCACCGGAGCTGGAGGGGGGAACCCCCGCCGGGTCCTCGCCGCCGTCCCCGGGGGCTACGCTGACCCTTTGCCCCCGGGGGAGGGCTGCTGGCCGCCCGCCATCCCTCCTGCCCTCCACTCGAGTGGGCGACAGCGACGTGGGCKGAATGACTTATGCCGGCCGGGGGCGGGGGGTGTCGGGATAAACACCTTGTGCATATCCGGGGATCTTTACCCTTCTCCTCATTAGAGGAGGGAAAAAAACCTGTCACGGTGTGTTGCCTGCTCGGCAGCACTGGGAAACCTTCCAGAATGCGGGATTGGCGCTGCGCTGCAGCCGGGAGCAAATGTCCCACCAAATGCCCTCCTGCGTTTTCATCCCGGGGTCGGGTGAGGAGCAGGGAGGGAGGGGACGTGCCGCTGCACTTCCAAATAAACTTTGTCAGGAGTTAGGGGCTCTTCCCCTCGGGGGTGGGCGTATCACAGCCATCGCAGCGCTTCCCCCGCGCTCCTGCCCTCGGAAGGGGAAGCCTGAGGGTGGCAGCTGTTGYGTCCCACCTGTCCCAAAGGAAACGCGGGAATGAGGGCCAGGACCCCAACAGGATCCACCACCTTCCCGGGAGCGGACGGAGCCGCGTCTGAGGGCCTGAGGGATCCCCAAGCCCGAGGTTTTTTGGGCTCGGAGCCCCCTTTCCCCGGAGGTGCCAGGCGGACACAGAGCCCCGACGGCTGCCTGGGGGCCGGGAGCTGGGGCCTCCCTCCCACCGGAGTGGGGTCGGTGCCTGCTTTCCGCCGCGGGAAGCCGCAGAAAGGAGCCYCGGTAACGGGGCGGGGTGGAAGGCACCAGCCCGGTTCCCGATTTGCCCCACGACACCAGCCCCACGCTTCCCCTGACCCCGGGCAGACCCTGCAGCCCGGTCCATGTCCCCACTGCAGCTACTCCAAAGGGACAAACTCCTTCCCTGAGCCCTCCTCTCCTTGCAGCCACCCGTGTCCGTGGGTGGGAGCTGTCCCCGAGCTCTCAGCCATCCCCGGCCGGGCTGCTGCAGCCCCCGGTGCGGCAGGGAGTGAGAAGCGCTGCTCCAGCTCGGAAATCCTGGTGGGTTTGGCCGCATTCGTGTCCAGGTGCAACATCCTTGGCCTTGGCAGGGACCGTGGCACCGGGTTTTTAACCCCGGGTTGTCCGTGGGGCGGGGGTCTCTGCGGACTCCAGCTGTTGATTCCTCCCCCTCCCCCGGTGCGGTCATTCCCTCTCTCCAGAAATACACCCCCCTCCAAAAAAAAAAAAAATCGGGGAAAGCAAAGAATGAGATGGAAATATACAAATCAATAGAGACAAATGTCAAGACGTTTTAAAATGACATTTTCATTAACTCCGAGTCACCATATTATGTCTGGTATATTGAATAAAGTACTTATAATATAATTAGGTATAGCGAGATGACGACTGTTACCCAGACCAGCGGCATAATCTTTAACTACTTAACTACTTGATAGACTCATTAATGGACTAATTGATTAGGAAAAGTGTTCCAGCTCCTCCTCTCCCTCTGAGGGGCAGGTGCTGTCCTGTTTTACCACATTAACCTTTTCAGTGCTTTTCAACAGGGTCGCGACACATTACAAATGGTCAGCTTTAATCATGATGTCAGCTCATTAACCCGGAAAGACCCCGCACTGAAATACAATTTAAGAAATCGTCCTTCATCCCTCTCTGCCGCCCY